ACTTCTGCCCTACCGAGCCGCCCGCAGGCAGGAGTCCTTTGGAATTCACCTGTAGATTATTTTCTATTTTTCGTGGCGGTTTCCACCCATTCAGTTACCGTGGTTGCTGTTGAAGTCGGCAGTTCCCACCTCTTACCGGTGTAGCTGGGGCACGGCAGGGTTTCCTCCTGCTCCGAGCTGGAAACCTGCTGTGCCCCAGCTACCGCCGCGGTCCCAGTTGGCACGAGCTGACTTTTAATAAGGACCACTAGAGTTATTTTCTGGGCAGAGTGGGTTCCATGGAGTTCTCATGAGAGTTAATTTTTGGTTTTTTGCACATCCTTCGATGCTTCATTGAAAAAGACGAAAAGTCAAGACTCTGGTTGGCCTGAACTAACTGATACAGTACAGAATCCACTTTGAAGTGGTGCCCTGACAAATGGCACGGGTGCTGAGCGGGGACGCCGCGGGGCCGTGGCACCCGGGCACGGGGCCCGCGGGCGCTTGCTCGCCGGAGCAGCGGACGAGTAGTTGGGGTTTGCTGCTGCGGGTTACCCACCGTGCCAGGGTTTAACGTGCTCGGCTCCCTTTGCTTTATTTTGGCCGGGAAGGGAATTCAGCATAATGAAAAAAATTAATTTTCTGGCGTGCTTGAAGGCCTTGTTTGATGACACTGGTTCGTAGAGTAGTCTCTGCGCTGAAAATGTGTGTGTCTGCCGTAGCAGAGCCGTGGGGCGATCAGAAACCGTCGCTTAATGGGCTAGTGTCTGTTCCCCTCAAAAGGGGCCTGCTGCCTAGCTTCCTGCCTCCGATACAGTTTTGTCTTTATAAAAATATGAATATTTGCATAAGAGGCTTTTTAACCTGTCCTGCTTTCATTGAAATGAACTGAATGCATAAGAACTCCGTATTTCTTTCTGCATCAGTTTGTGATGGCTTTAGATTAATTCTGTATCATCTTTTAAAGATCTATTCTCCAGATCACACCAACAACAGCTTTTCATCAAATCCTTCAACTCCTGTTGGTTCTCCCCCTTCTCTCTCAGGTATTGTTGTTACACTTCTATTTTACTGAACGTTGCAACCTATTTTTTTGGTAGGAGATGCCTGACCGAGCTCCCGGGCGGCGGGCGCTGGTGGCCCGCCGAG